CAGTGAGTTATGTACATACATATAAGATAACTCATCTTAGATATTTTGAGGGTTTTCTTTGAGGGAAGGTAGGTCAAATGCTGTTAGTGAATTTCCATAGATTGTTAACTGAGTTACACTGGATTTTATAAAGTATTATATGAAATAGATGGGTGACTAGAGCTTAAAAGTACTTTATTCCCTTAATTTTAATCCATATTATACCACAGGTATTCTGCCATTATATTTTGATGCTATTTGAGGTGTGGATTTTTTTTATCAAATATAAAAATGCATGCTATTTTCTATAGGTGATTCTTGCAATTCAGGAAAGATTTAGGTACATTTCTAAGGAAATCTATACTAATAATAGAGGAATATGCAAATTGGCCGGGATGCTGTCAAGTAATGACCAATCAGGACGGGGGAGGGGCTCAGCGAAGAGCTCTCAGCATACCTGCGCAGGCCGGGTCTGAAGGGCACAGAGAGGGAGGGAGAGCAGATAGGCAGTTAGTGGTATCAGGCCAGGAGGGGAGCACAGATAGGCAGTTAGGGCTATCAGGCTGGCAGGGGGGAGCAGTTAGGGAGATCAGGCCGGCAGGGGGGAGCAGTTAGGGTGATCAAGCCAGGAGGGGAGAGCAGTCAGAGGGATCAGGCTGGCAGGGGGGAGCAGTTAGGGAGATCAGGCCGGCAGGGGGGCAGTTAGGGGCATCAGGCAGGCAGACAGGTGAGCGGTTAGGAGCCAGTGGTTTCGGATTGCGAGAGGGATCCCGGATTGGAGAGGGTGCAGGCTGGGCTGAGGGACACCCCCCAACCCTGGTCACAAATTCTATGCACCGGGCCTCTAGTAATATATAATTGGCAGTGGGAAAAGGATGATGGGGAAGAAACCCCCTTTAAGAGCTTACTACAAAGAGAAAGAGTGTGTCTGATTCTTTTCACGAAGGTGTAAAGCACAGATCTTAACAGAGTGCCTGGGTGCTCAATGACAGCTTATTATTACTACTACACAGATTTCACAAAAAAATAGTATTCTGCATTAATGGAAAGTGTCCCATCAAATCCATTTACTTTAATGCAAACTTGGAGACATGTGTGGTGCTGTATTGTAAACTATTAGGGAAAACCATTTTTCACACAAGTGAAATTTAAAATCACTATATCTTAACTAGATAATTTTCCTTCTCTATTGTGCTTTCATTCTTTCCCCAGTTAAATAGATATTAGCAACTTCTAATCAATTCTTTAAATGTAAATAAGCAAATTGATAAATATCTGGATTTTGTATCTTACTTGGCATCTCCTCCTCTTTTAAAAATAAACTATTTGGTATAAACACACACAATCAAATTAATCCACTCAAAGTGCCTTTAATGATTGACTTCATAGTCAAAACATTCTATACACATGCCAGTGGAATTAGGGTCAACGAATGCACCATTTACATCCTCAGTAACTAGGAAATGTTCCAATTCAACAAGCTTGTACTCTGTCATCCCGAGATTTACCAGGATTAGTTTCTGGATGACGACTGATTGTGGAAAATTAATTAATGTATCCTGAGAGAGATTGCTGATTGTAAGACTGTTAACAGTATTGCGCTTAGTTGACCAAGTAGAAGAGGATGATCTTACTAGTACAAAAACAGTTGAATCTGATGATGACATTTGACGGTTTCTCTGTAAGAGAAGGAAATCACACATATATAGTTTATTGAGTTTAGCAATTTAAAAGTACTACCAAATAACAACATGCTTAGTCTTGGTTAGCAAAGTCAACTGCCTGTGCTCCCCTAAGAATTAGAGATTAAAAATCTGTTGAAGATCCAGAGACAGAGAAGCATTGATCAGACTGTCAAACCTCAGAGGGAAGGTAGGGGAGGGTGGAGGTAAGGGGAAAAGATCAACCAAAGGACTTGTATGCATGCACATAAGCCTAACTAATGGACACAGACAACAGGGGGGGTGAGGGCATGAGTTGGGGAGGTCGGGGGGGGTTATGGTGGGATAAGGACACATATGTCATACCTTAATCAATAAAGAAATTTTAAAAAAGAAATAAATGTTCTTATGGTAGTTGATCAAGTCCAATGCTAGAAATATCTAAACCCAAATGAATCTTAAACCCAAGAATTTATTCACTGTGCTTGAAAAGAAAGATGGTTTTTGATCTGAGATATCTTTATGAGTTTAATAAAGTACTCTACTTATAAGTGAAAAAAAATATGTTGAATGATTACATTGATTTGGAAATGTGATAGTACCAAACACAGACTGAGAGGGAAAATATTTGAAAGTGCCTTTTAATGCTAAAATGCCATGTCCTTGCCTTACATTTCTTGGGCAGTCCAGTAGGTCTGTATTTGGACTCAGTCTGACCCTTACTTAAAAGTACTTCATTTGCAACTTTAAATATCACCAGGTATATCACATTTTGGCTTGAATTATTTGTGAATGCCCCTAAAGTTCTCATAAAGATGGCTGAAAAGGAAAATACAGGGGAGGAAGAGGAAAACAGAAACATAGAGGCAGTAAAAGCCAGAAAAGAGAAGGTACAGATTCCTAAAACAGGAGGTAGTGGTGGAGAGTGGGCACTTTAAGCTGTACTTTTCAAGTGGGTAAAAAGCTGACCATATCACTTAGTGACTTCGGTTTTTTTTTCTATAACAAATCACAGCTGTCAAATCAGGAGTCAAGATGAGAAAAGTGTGGGGGGTAAAGAATAAACATCTGGGGCTCTATCAAGAGAAGGGGAATGAGGTGACCTTCCCTTACCCTTATTGTACCATTTTACTATTTTTTTTACTTTCTTATACAACTCCCACCGCCACCCCCCACCCACCACATCCATGTATTCACCTAGTTTCATCTCTTTCCAACCTCTCTTACACACTTTACCTGAAGCCGGTCTTTCCAGGAAAGAAACACGTAGGCGAGCAAAATACCACCAATCAGGAGCAACAGGATACACATGGCTCCTCTTCGTCCTCTTCTATCTCTCTTCTCAGGCACTCAGGGGCCACTAGCCACTGGAACTCCAGAAGCCCCTGGCCAGTGTGATGGTCTTCCTACACTGCCTGGTGCTACTGGGATACGCTTCAGCGTCCCGCCTTATATACTGGAGGGCACGTGACCTCACAATTGAGCATGCACGTAGGAGAACGATGTCACAATTTGATGACGCATAACCCACCTGGGGGAAACCAGGCGGCGAGTAAGAGCCATATGGGGTGAGTTCAGATTTCCAGGAAGCTGAAACATGGTAGAGAAGTACAGACACCGAATTGGCTGGTTAAATGTAGTATTTTAAAAGTGCTCTTCCCTCCTCTCTTTTTAAAGATATGTCTTTCTCTACTGCAACTACTCCACTGTTCATTTAAAAAAACAAGTTAAAAAACAAGATAGAAATGTACCGTAAAAAGTAATTACCCACAAATTATAAGACTTTGTCAGAGACCTCCTCCATGCTCCCATTCCTATTTTAGGATTCATGCCAACCCTATAGAATTTAGATAATTATGTAAATTTGTGTTACTGTACAGTTTAAAAAAGTAATTCAACAGACATGTCCCCAAATAATTCTCACACTATTTTAAGCTTTAGGTGTTTCTAATACTGTGAGTACTTCTGGAAATGCAGAAACAGATTCAGGCGTTAAGTAAACTCATTTGAAACTAATACCTAAATCCACAGAGTTTGAGTCCAAAGAGAAACTCTTCCATTCCCTCACCTTCATCCCTGGCCCTGCAATCTTTCTACCTCCACTGGTTGACTTATGAGCATCAAGTATTTCATATTTTCCACCCAAGGAATTGAACACTATGTTTGGAATAGTATTCATGAAAACTAACAGATACAGAAAACATTGTACTAAACAAGTTAGAAATGTTCAAGAAATTCAGGTAAATGTACAAGATGACACTGAACTATAAAAAAGACAGGATAATCTCAAGATGAGTGTCAAACTGCAGCTCATTAACTGCTTGGGGAATAACTCATCTTCATATAGATAGGATGGAGAGGAATTATATGTATAAACTTTTCATACCAAACTTATTTCCCAATTATGAGTTCAAAGCTTAAAAGATTTATTTATTCAATAAGTATTTATTATATACCCAAGCAACGGTTAGGCACTGTGATGTATTCTGGGAGCATGATTATGAGCAAACAATAAAGTCTCTGCTCACCTGGAATATGCATTCAAGCATAGGAGATAAGATATTAATCAAATACCCACAGAAATGAATGTAAAAGTGCTAAGATAAGCATGTATTATGCTTGTAGTTCTCTGAGTTTCCTGGATCTTGAATTCATGTCTGACATTAAGTTGGGGAAAATTATTAGTTCTTATTGCTGCAAATATGTCTCCTTCTCCACTCACCTCTTATTCCTCCTCCTGTAGCCTCCTCCTCCTCTCTCTCTTATTCTGGTATCCCCATTATGAATGTTACACCTTTTGTAGTTGTCTCTCAGTCATTGGTACTCTATTCTGGTCTTTTTATCAGTTTTTTTTCTCTTTACATTTAATTTCTTTCACTTTAATTTGTTTCAGTTACATTTGGTGTATAATATTATATTAGTTTCAGGTGTATAACCTCATTATTAAATATAAATATATATAACTTATGAAATGATCACCAATAAACCTAGTACCCATCTGACACCATACCTAGTAATCACAATATTGTTGACTATATTCCCTATGATGTACTTTACAAGCCTGTGACTATTTTATAACTACCAATTTGTACTTCTTAATCCTGCCACCTTTTTTACCCAACTCTCCCCTCCACCCCGCAAATCTGGCAATTGTCAAAATGTTCTCTATGTACAAGTCTGTTTCTGTTTGTTTATTTTATTTTTTGGATTCCATATATAAGTGAAATCACCTGGCATTTGTCTTTCTAACTTATTTCACCCAGCACGATACCTTCTAGGTTCCTCCATGTTGTTGCTAATGGCAACATTTCATTATTTATTATGACTGAATCATATTACATTGTATATATACACCACTTCTTTATCCATTCAGCTATTGATGAGCACTTGGGTTGCTTCCATATCTCTGCTATTGTAAATAATGCAGCAATAAACATATAGATTTATATGTCTTTTAGATTTAGTGTTTTCTTTGATAAATACCCTGAAGTGTAATTGCTGGATCCCTCTTTGTCTTTATATAGCCTTTGTTTTAAAGTCTATTTTGTCTGGTATAAGTATTACTACCCCAGTTTTTTTTGTTTCCATTTTCATAAAATACCTTTTTCCATCCCTTTACTTTCAGCCTCTGTGTGTCTTTTGATGTGAAATGAGTCTCTGTTAGATAGCATATGTAAGGGTCTTATTTTGTTATCCATTAAGCCAATGTATACCTCTTGATTGGAGCATTTTATCCATTTGCATTTAAAATAGTTACCAATAAATATGTATTTATTGCCATTTTATTATTCATGTATTTTTTTTCTTAAAAAAGTCCCTTTAACATTTCCTGTAATACTGATTTGGTGGTGATGAACCCCTTTAACTTTTTCTTGTCTGGGAAGCTCTTTATTTGTCCTTCAATTCTAAACAGTAACTTTGCTGGGTAGAGTAATCTTGATTGTAGGTCCTTACTTTTCATCACTTTGAATATTTCATGCCACTCCCTTTTGGCCTGCAAAGTTTCTGTTGAGAAATCAGCTGATAGTCTTATGGGAGCTCCCTTATCGGTAATTAGCTGCTTTTCTCCTGCTGCTTTTCAGATTTTTCCTTTGTCTTTAACTTTTTGCATTTTAATTATGATGTGTCTTGGTGTGGGCCTCTTTGGGTTTATCTTGTTTGGGACTCAGCACTTCCTGTACTTACTAGTAAATGTTTATTTCCATCACCAGGTAACAGAAGTTTTCCATCATTATTTCTTCAAATAGTTTTCAAATTTCTTGCTCTCTCTCTCTTCTTCTGGCATCCCCATGATGCAAATGTTGGTACACTTGAAGTTGTCCCAAAGGCTCCTTAAACTATCCTCATTTTTTGGATTCTTTTTCTTTTTGCTGTTCTGATTGGGTATTTACTGCTTCATTATCTTACAAATCTCTTATTTGATATTCTGCTTCATCTACTCCACTGTTGATAGCCTGTAATGTATTCTCCATTTCACTTCATGCATTCTTCATTTATGACTGGTTCTTTCTTATGTTTCCTATGTCTTTGTTGAAGTTCTCACTAAGTTCCTCTACTTTTCCCCTAAGCTCATTGAGCATCGTTATAACCAGTGTTTTGAACTCTGTATCTTGTAGATTGCTTGTCTCCATTTTGTTTAGTTCTTTTTCTGGAGTTTTGTTCTGTTTCTTTCTCTCCTCATTTTGGCTGCCTCTCTGTGTTTGCTTCTGTATACTAGGTAGAGCTGCTATGTCTCCCAGTCTTGGTAGGGTGGCCTTATATAGTAGGTGCTGTGTAGGGACTAGTGGCACAGTCTCCCTGGTCACCTGAGCTGGGCATTCCAGGTGCACCCCCTTTGCTCATGTGAGCTGCATGCTCCCTCCTGTTGTAGTTAAGCCTTGATTGCTATTGGTACATGATTAGCTGACCTTCCAGCCAATCAGCTTTGAGGATGGGCTGCAACCATAATGGAGAAGCTGCTGTTCAGGGCCAACTCCATGGAGTGGAGTCACTTCAACAGGGTTCCAGTGCTCAATAATCTTCCCCTTGAGTGTGTCATTTGTGAAGGTGGTTGGATGGTGCTTCAATGTGGTCTGAAGCTGTCCACTGGGGGCACTGACTCTAGGGTCTCTCATAGGTGTAGGCCAAGGTTAGCTGCCACCTGTGCCTTCCCTAGGCCAGCCATCCTGAGCTACAAAGAGATCTTAAGATGATTGCTACTTGTGCTGGGCTTGAGGGTGCCCAGAAGATACCAAGCTGTGAACCAAGGCTGGCTGTCACTAGTGCCAGGCTGGGGTCACTTAGTAAGAGGTCCGGGGCATGCCCAAGCCAGATGCTGCTTATTTTAAAGATTTTAGGAAATTTTTAGCATGAGCCAAGACAGGCCATTTCTATGGAAAAGATACTAGAAACAGCTTGGTTGAGCCCACAAGTTGAGTGGGACTATTACTGGACAGGGGCCGGCCAGAACAGGTCTGCCTCAGGCTGACCTGTAACGTGTGGGTCCTTTACTTCATGTAGGAAAGATTTTGCAACATGAATCCAGATAGGTTTGAGAGTATGTTTATTAATGTTGGGGACAATGAAACAAAGAAAGAAATTAGGATAGAAGAAACAACAGGGGAGACCATAGGCAGTGTTCTGCTTTGGCTCTCTAGAAATGTTATAGGAGAGAAGTGAGCCAAGGTGGAGCTGCTGGCTAGGTTAGCGCACCCTGTTAGCTAACTGGGAAGTTAGAAAAAAGGGGTCCTTGGAGACAGCATCAGGGGTGAGCCCTGGTCAAGCTGCCACTGCCCATCACTCCTATGGCTGCAAGTCTTGTGGGGACCCTTAGAATTCAGGAAGAAAGAAAAAGTTCATGCCCAGGAAGGGATGTGGGCATGCTCTAGACTAGAGCAAGCCCCATTGAATCTTTGCCCTGAGGGCTTTTAATCCATTTTTTTCCATACAAGCAAGAATCTTAGGGGAGGGTTTCAGTAGAATATTCATCAGCTTTCCAGGTGCATTTTTAATATGCTGATGCATTAAAATGAGTGTATAGGGGAGTTTTGGGTTATTTTTTGATCTGTTTTACTGTCTTACTTTTATCTTAGGTCTGTCTGGCATTAATGGGGTTTTTGTTATTTGTTCCCCAACTTCATCTGTCCTTGTTTCGCTGGCACAAATGGCATTAATTTGGTCTTTGTTCTCTATTTCTCCAGGCCAGAGTGATTTAAACTATGTATTTTCTAGTTATGGAGGAGGGTATAAACCATTTGCTCTTAAGTTTGCTTGGTTAAGGAAGATAGGGCCTTGCAATTCACAAGCTGGCTGCAAGCTGTCCAAATTGTTTGGATTTTCCTAGCCTCTTACTGTCCTACTTCAGGGTGAGGTCTCAGGGAATCATTAGGACAGGGTGAATAGTGTGAGCCAGGTTGATGGTGCCTGCTGCCAGCTCTGTAGAGGGAGAGCTCAGCGAGGGAACCATGGCCTCTGCCACCACTTCTGTCTTAGAGAAAGCTGCCCCTCCAGCTTTTACCCTGAAGCCAGTATGTCCCT